AAGTATAAATAAACCCATGAGGACATGGTGCCTGCCCAGATGTTGCACTGTTCATTTTTTCTTTGAGTCGGCTAATGTCCGCGTTTTTGGCCACAGAGGAGAGGAGCCTAGATCCCCGGTAATGTCTGCTATAAGACCGTTTTACCTCCTCTTACCTCTTCACCTATACTATACGGTACTTCTGTAGTGTGTGTGTGTGTGTGTCTCCGTGCATGTGTGTTTGCGTCACAGCTCTCAGAAAGGACCCTGGGACCCTCCTCGACAGTGAGAGCTTTTAGCTCTTCTTCGCTAATGTCCTGAATAATGGCATCTTGATGGAGAGAGTAGACAAAAAAAGAGAAACAGGAGAAAGGGGGGAGAAAAAGAGACAAAGAGAAAAACAGTGGAGAGGGACGGGAGGTGGAGAAAAAGACAGAAAGAGAAACCTCTGCATCCATCTGTCTCTACCTCCAGACCTCCATCAGCAGCAGGCCTATCATTATTCCCTCTTTCTGCCTTTCTATTTTCATTACTCCCTTTTTGTCTCTTTTCAGCATGATGATGATCCACAGAGATTTTTGTTGCTCTTGCAGAAAGACACATCTCAGTATGAGTCCCAAGCTTTTAACAAAATGAACTTTTGATGCCACTGAAGCATTATTTGAAAGAAAAAGGAATATGCTATTTTTTAATCAATGTTAGCTGAAGCCACTTCACAAGTCCTTCAAGATGTAGCATCTCTACTGCTGGCTGCTAGATGTTGGCTCCAACAAAAACTCCAACTCCAAAACGAATGAAGAGAAAGTTAGCTTTTTTCCATCCAGACAAATTTTAGATCTCGATATGTATTTATTGTAATGTGTCTTTGGTTTGACTTGACGTTTAAGAGAAGTAAAGTTTGTTGTCAGCTATGATGGTTCACCAGACTTACTCCCCTTCTGCAAAAATGTCTATGTTCTGACTTCCAAAACACCAAAACGATCCTTAAGAGATGTAAAGCTGACGTCATTGATGCATTAAGCATGTCTTCTTTGGTGTATGGTTGAAACAGAAAAGTGGAACTGGAATACAACTGTTTGAGACTTGCAAGATAAAGCTGGTTCCTGTTTTGAGCCACAAGAAATCAAGCAGATTTTCTGTCAAATGTGAACCTGTGGTTATTGACACAAAGGATCTTCTGTGTACAATACCGTCACACGTCATGTTATAATGATACAGGTTGCACTGCCAGGAAAAAAAAGATGAATTCTGACAAATCTGTTTCTTAAAAACTGATTTGTCAGATTTTCACTGGTGCAACTGGTGTTTAAAATATATGCAACCATAATACTGTAAAACTATTAAACTAATTATCGACTTTTACTTGTAGCCCTCCTGAATAGATCACAAAGATTGAGTCCAGTCACATTTTTCTAGTTCCTCCTTCCACTTGCATCGCACATTTAACAAAATATTGACACTGATTGCTTGAAAAATGTCCAAAAAGCATTTGTGGATAATGCTCTCAATTTAAAATCTAGCTCTGGTGTAATTTCCATCCTTCTCCTTCCTCTTCTCTTGTGGGAAAACTGTTCTGTCACTATGGATGAGAGTGTCAGTTAAATGTGAAGTGCATTGTGCTGTCTGACCATGACTTGTCCTTGTCTGGATTGTCAGTTTGGCTCTTTGGTTAAATCCTATAATATTAGCAGTGGCTGGTTGATTAAAAACCTAACTGCTGGTATTTGGGTTGTAAGGTAACTCCGGGGTGTTCAGCTGCTCTGAGTAAACTGTGGGGACAGTTCAGGGTGACTGACCATGACCGAAACACACAAACAATCCCACACTTGCTCGTTCTCGGTTTCAACCTTACTTGTGTCTGTTTCATAAATACCTGTGTGTGTGTATGACTCTCTCATTCATTGAGTAACACTCTCTCTCTCTCTCTC